AGAAACTCTTCATATGATTTTTTTTACAGATGTGTATGATTTTCTATACAGAGAGTAGGTACACATAAATTACATAATGACATAGAAGAGTTTTCAAATGCCAACATAATTTTAGCAAAGAGGTAATTCAAACATATAAATTTTATATACGCTTACAAGTCAGTTTTATAGATTTATATGATTTGTTTTTATTTATAGACATAATCAACTTATAATATAGCTATTTTTTGTTAGTTATAATGAATATATTTAATCAAATATTCGTGTCGTTAAATTTAATCAAATATTTGTTTGAACTTTTGCTTTTCATCTTTATACTGTATTTCTCAATTTCATATGGTTGAAATCTACCATATGCTATACCGACTGAAAGGATTATTGTCAAAGAAAAAAAAACTATGAAAGGTCATTCAGATTTCTGAAGGAAAATAGAAAGAGCATAGTATAATTAAAAAGCAATCGAACCATGTGTTCGATACGCTTTGTGTGTGGTTGGACCGTAATTAACCACGTATATGAACCACTAATAATCATCAACAACTTTTCAAGTTTAAATGTGTTTAAAGAATTTTGGACATATGGTGGAAGTTGAAAATTCTCATCAAAGAAAATCCTCCGTGAGAAAGTAAAATTCAAAATTCATCAGTTTGGAGTGAAACTCTACAAGTTTAAAGTAATTAAATTGAGTTATTCTAATATTTTTTATTTTCTTAGATCGATTGAATAAATATGTTTGAATTTTTTTTTTAACAATTTTGTTTTCGAAAAACTACAAAATAGTTAATTGTGAAAGAGTTATATAATTATCAATAGATTTTAAATTTATATGTTTATATATAACAAACAAACTATAAAAAAATACAAATATTAAAATTTTTAAAACATTTGCCAATTAAATTTTAAAAACAAAATTTAACAATGTGAAAAATTTAACAAAAGAAAAGGAATGTGATAAACATCATAGGAATTGCAGCTAAATAATTTGTACTATTCTTGATTCTCATATGCAAATGTTATATACGATGAATTACAAATGAGATATGTCCTAGGCTTTAATTATCTCATAAATCTAATCCAACACTGATTTAGACCAAAACGAGTCTGAAAATCTTTTTGATGAGAACATTGTCACTCTTTGATTGTCTGGTTACTATATGTAGACGATGGTAACCATAAAATGAGCGCATGTATTATTTTTAAAGAAGTAGAGATATGTGATTATATGTCTTCAACCCAAGACTTGGTATCTGATTTTTGAAACTTCTAGATGCCATAGAATAAAAGTTGCAAGGTCACGTCCATCGTCAACAATTATTTCAATTTTAAAACTGGATATAGAGTCATAAGCGTTTTTACAGAATCACCTCCCAAATAATATATATAGGGGATTCTTTACACATGCAATAAATTTCTAATACATCTTATTTTTATGGTAAATTAATTATTTTATTCTCTACAGTTGTTTCACTTTCTACCATTATACTTTTGCAATCGTATATGTCGATGTCTAGCTAATTTT